TTTTTTGCTTTTGAATCAGTGGAATAACCTCCAATCTGTTGAGATGGGAGTCATCCGTTTCCTCGGCAACCATGCCATCAACCAGCTGTTTCTCCTTTTTTGTGTGTTGGTCAACAGTCGGTTGCCATCCTTCTGTGACTTATAAATACCTATTAGGGTAAGGAGTGGCTTCAGCAACTCAGACACGTTCCATTATTCACGGGCGGGAGAGCTTTGAATTTTCATTCCTCAAAATCAATGATCCCACTTGTCTTTTCTCAAGGGTAGAGGTAAGGAAAAGTTCTCGGCAGACTGAGGGACCGCTGCAAAGCCAGAACAACTGTGGCTTCTTTCACCCAAGTGTGCTCATGTTGACATCTTGGGCATGCTTTAACAAGACTTGCTTCTTACCACCCGAAGGAAAGCGGAGTCCCCAGGGGTGGGGCCTGCCCTGTGAGGTGGGTGGGGGGCGGCAGGCGGGTGACGTTGTCCTGGGCGAGATGGGGGGGTGTCTTCACCTTCCAGCACGTGGAGAGGCCCCTCGCAGGGCAGAAATTCCTTCTTGGGGAGCTGGAATTTGGGCAGGAGGCTCACATCATCCAAAAACGTGAATCTGTTTACTGTGGCATTTTGCATGGATACCACTTCACAGCTGACCCAACCCCTGTTCTGAACCAGCTCAGGAGAATGGGCCTGAAAGGTCGTGTCCCTCCGTGACTCTGTCCAGAGCAGAGACCCCACTGTAGCTCAGAGAGCCATGGTCACCCTCCTCATGTTCCAAGAGATGGGTTTACGCTGGCGCTCAGACTGGAGAATTTCTCAGCTGGGGAAGCAGCTCGCTGGGGCCTGGGGGACGATGTCTGGGAACTCTGGACTGTGTGTCACAGTGGGGGAGAAATGAGACACGCTGTGTGATCAAGGAGTGGTTAGACCCAGGAGGCAGAAATTGTGAGGAAGGGAGAATGGGTAATGGTGACTATGAAATGCACGAAGTCCATGAAAATGCAGGTATAGGTGACGGTGATGAAAGCCAGCCTCTTGTTAAAAATTCCTTGGCCTGATTGCGGCCGCAGCTGCAGGCAAGTGTCCTTTCTCCTCGGTCACATCCTGCACCATGATGAGCAAGAATCTTGCCCCTGCCCCTTGCCGCTCCCTGACCACGTTCCACTGTTGTTTGCTGAACAAAAGAAGAGAGACCCCTCACCGCTCATTTTGGGCGCGGCCCACTCCACTGCCGGGGGTGCTGAACTGGGCCCCTCCGAGGGCCCCTTCAAGACCAGGGGGCTCAACCCCCAGCCGCCCGGGACGTGGTGCTGTGGTGCTGACCCCTCACAGTTAGTCCCTCCCCCAGAACTCTTCCAGGTCTAAGGGAGGCGCCTCGTGCGGGGCTACACCCCTCTCCAGACAGCTGCATTCAAGGACAGTCACCCCAGGGTACAAAGACCCAGCCCCTGGCCTCGCCGGGACAGCTCTGAGGGGGTCTGCCAGCTCCCAGGCTCCCTGCGGACCCACTGCGGGCTCTCATAGAACTGCGCCCCA